AATTTTGATGCATAGAAATAAAGCATCTATTTTTGGAAGGACAAAAATTAATTATACTAATCTTCTATAATTGTCTAATAGTGTCAGTGCTAGTCTATCAGCTCTTCTTGTATTCTCTTGTTTAATTATTTCTAGAAACAAACCAAAATCTTCTCCATCCTCTCTAATGGATGCTTTAACTAAACTAAGCAGCTCGTCCATTCTTTGATTAGCAGTTAGTCCAGTGCTGGTATCAATAATTTGTCCTTTTTCAGCATCACTTATCATCCTCTTCTCGACCAGCCTGTCTATCAGTGGATACAGGCCAACCTTTTCCTTTATTATTCCAGTACATTCTGTCATTACTCTATGAGCAATATCAGATCTAAATGTACCTATTAATGATACAAATTCAGTGATTAGTGTGTTATTATGTTAATATCAACAAGAGTCTTGATATCAACCATACCTTCTTCAGTCTCTCTCCTGGTTTGACTGATACTAGCAGTAGAGGAGCTTGAGCTAGTACTGTTTCCTATATAGACCAATAATAATCACTTATAATTGTACCAACTCTCATTCACTAACTCATTGATGATGAAAAAGGTGGGGATCTGTTAATGCAAATTATAGTGTCAGGATCTATTCCAGTCAATTCAATGGGACAATGAAGTGAGTCCTTAGCAATACCAGGTTTAGCATACACTGACATACTGCAGGTTGCATAAGAGGGATTCAATGGGAACTGGTCAACTCTTGACTGAAGCAACTAAAGAAATTGTCCTTATAATAAATACTTCATTAAAAGTACTAACTTTCATTGGTTTTCTATCAGGATTAACAGTCCATCCAACCTCCTGTACAGTGTGTAGAGTCAATTTAAGAGTTCCATTTGGTTCAATAAACTTAAATGAGTCAACAACATTATCATATTCAATACTTGATCCCTGCTCGCTTTCAAAATACTAAATGAACATAAAACAAATGATCAAAATTTGTAGTGTTGGTGTATGTACATGTACATGAGGTGTATACTTTACCCTTTTAAGAACTTCCAAATCTCTAACAACAGAATACATAGCCTTCCAATGACCAGCTTGTTTCTTATCGTAGTACATCATTCCAGAATACAATGTATCACGAGAAGCTGCTGCATGTATTTATAATGTACGTAATACATATAATATACCATTAATACCTGAATGTGTAGTCGATTGATCAGTAGATGATTCATCATCATTCCTTGCTGGACACTGTTCACAGGATACAGTAGCTGTAGGCCCATCAGAATCACTTAGTACATGATCTGACTGTTGTATTGTTTGTTCATCAGTAGTATGGGATTCTACCTCATGGACTAACTGAGAAGGATCATCATTAATTGAGTCTATAGGGTAAAACATAACATGCAGTATACATCATACAGTTACATACCATGAGGTGGTGTAGTACTTGTTGATGGAGTGGCTCCTCCTCCACTACTATTCTCTCCTGCTCCATTACTGCTATCATTAGGTGTGTCTCCAATAGTCTCCTCCTCACTATCATTATTTGTTCCTATACATCATACAAACACATCAACAGTAAATTATTAATACAATCACTATTGTATACCTTGAGTTTGTGTATCA